TTCAAACGCTGGATCAAGGAGGCCATTGAAATCAGGAAACGAGGCACGGACAGCATTAACCGTGATGACGGCGCGTTCCTCCTTTCACACACCTGGGACACCCTCCTCCAGAGAACACCGGGCGACGGGAGGCGTGGTCAGTCTGAGCGACCTGCCAGGTCCATCAGGCTGACCACGCCTACAGGAAGTAACAACAGCTGATATACGACATGTCACCACCAACACCGGTGACAGTTCTGAAGATGGCTCACAGCGAGCAGCCGAAACATGTCAACAAGGTAAACACACTTTACTGCATTGTCTTTAAAAAGAACCTAAGAAGTGTTAGTGCTGTGCTTTTACTTTTTGAAAAGTTTTGTTTACTGAATTTATTTTTTATAATATTTCGTACATTTGTTGCTTATTTGAGAATATTTTATTTAACTTATTAGTATTACCAAGCAGCACTTTACATTTATTTTATTTTCCTGTTTGTATAATGTTAAAAAAAATGTTGGTTTAATAAAAACACAAATAAACAAGTAAATGGTTTTGGATTTTGTTCCCATACTGTACCGAAAATGAACCGAACCGTGACTTCAAAACCGGGGTACGTACTGAACCGTGATTTTTGTGTACCGTTACACTCCTACTAGATATAACACTTATGTTGGTAATATCTCTAAAATGTCTATATTTCTTCTACTTCTAATGGAAAATGAAGAGCAACGATGAGGCTAGATGTCACTGTTCTTCTTTCATTCAGTGACGTCATGAAATGTGTCCATTATAAATAACTAAAGCCAAATGTCATTTGCACGTGTAGTGTTATTAGCCTGGACGCTAGCTCCTTCTAAACTTAACCACGAGTCTCTCCTTTTCCCTCGCGACACATGAGTCAACCTCAAACAAGTCCAGTCAGGTGCTGTAAGTCACTGGGAACGTTGCACCATGTCTACACTGGTACAGTATTCATTCACCCTACAACAAAAATACACAGAAACCTGATGGAAAATGTACGAGTATATAAGAGTACTGAAAATTCCTACTCGGGTAAAGTTACAGAGCTAAAATATTCACAATTACAGGTACCCGCTTTATTTCTGTAGCGCATTTTATCAACAAAACTGTTTCCAAAGTGCTGCACGAAGTATACTTAAGTACAAGTTTGAATATCTGTACTTACTTACATTTTACAGTGGATACTTTCTACTTTTACTTCACTACGTTTGAGGGCAGGCTGAAAAGTAAAAAGTATTTTTCTTGAGACTTACTTTTAGCACATTTAATCTGAGTTAACATCTCAACTTTGATCAAACCAAATACACAAAAGCATCTGGAAATATTTAAATCAGCTAAATTCTTTTTCAAAATCACTGCATTTCATCATTTAATCGTTGAAAAAATATCTGCAAAAATGCTTTTAAGTTTTACTCTTAAAGTGCATTTTTAAACAGGGGCTTTAATACTTTTACTTAAGTGGATTTTTTCCTGTGATACTTTTACTTTTACTTGAGTATCTGTACTTTTACTTAACAAAATTGAGTACTTCATCCACCGCTGCACATATAAAGATAACATTATAAAACTTCAAAAGGTATTAAAAATAAAAGAGTTTAAATGCTCAACCAGTAAAGTCAAATAAACCCATAAAATAGTAATACATAAATAAAATCAATAAAATAATATAAAAATGTATATACAATAAATTAATAAAAACACAAAGGACTACTCGGTGTGTAAGTATGTGAATAATGAGAATTTATAATTAGTTGCTTTCCATCCCTGTGAATAACTAATCAATTACTACTACTACTACTACTACTAATACAACAACCACTACAACAACAAACTACTACTACTACAACTACTGCAATTACAACCACTACTACTACAACCATTGCCACTACCACTACAATAACAAACTACTATTACTACAACTACTACAACTACAACCATTGCCACTACCACTACAATAACAAACTACTATTACTACAACTACTACTACTACTGCTACCATTACAATAACAGACAACTACTACAACTACTACATCTACAACCACTACTACTACAACCATTACCACTACCACTACAATAACAAACTATTACTACTACAATTACTACAATAACAAGCTACTACAACAACAAACTACTACTACTACAACTACTACTACTAATAATAATACAACAACCACTACAACAAAATACTACTACTACTACAACTACTACATCTACAACCACTACTACTACTACAACCAATACCACTACAATAACAAACAATTATTACTACTACAATTACTACAACAACAAACTACTACTACTATTACCATTACAATAACAAACTACTACTACTACTACAATTACTACAACAACAACAAACTACTACTACTATTACCATTACAATAACAAACTACTACTACTACTACTACAATTACTACAACAACAAACTACTACTACTATTACCATTACAATAACAAACTACTACTACTACTACAACAACAAACTACTACTACTGCTACTACTACAACAACCATCACCACTACTACTACTACTGCTACTGCTACTACTGCTACTACTAATACTATATATAAAATATATAAACAACACAACAACAACAACTACTTCTACTGCTGCTACTATTACAACTACTACAACTACTACTACTACAGGGTTGTACACAGAATTGAACATGTGTAACATCTGATTTATAATTTGAAGTTAATGTAATTGAAAGGACAAAACATAAAATAAAGAGCAAAATCTGATATTTTCAAAGGACAGACATAAAAAAGGAGAAAAACCAAATCATATCTGAAGGAGCGGTGCATGAAACACAAACTTAAAATAATTTCATAGTGTCACAATAAAGCTTTTGTCACTTGTAGACGTACTCATGAGAAGCCACAAGACCGTGAAAAATTATCTTGTGAGATGTTATTGTTTGTTTTGTGTTACATTTGAATTGAACAAAAATGGATTAAGTGTTGATTAGTTACATCTCTTACAGTTACAAAAAGTGAAATTTATGTGTTAGGAATTATGTTAAAATCTCGTCTTGTCTCGTTTTCGTGGACCCAATCTCGTATTTCGTCTCGTCTTGTGGAAATTATGTCTCGTCCCATTCACTATCTATGTGTTTGTATATGCTTTTTTACAAAATAGTGTCTCAGAAAAGTGTAATCCATATTTGTTTAGGTTTTTATCCGTGAAATTCTAAAAATGGAGTCTGGAAATGCAGAAATGGGGCTGTGAGAATAATCGTGATGAAATCGAACTCGCAATTTGAATGGATGCAAAGCTTAACGCACACAAAAACGTCCTCTACAAACAACAAAATACAAGTTTAAGCGTGTTCCCAAATACATGTGATCCTTACCCGTATTAGTTTGTCAGTCCAAAGGCGATTTTGGTGTTTTTGTTGATTCTTCTGGAAGAATTTTCAACATAATCTTATTGTTAGAGCATGCAAATATGATTGTATGAGTAGTATGTGAGTACATAAAAAATGCTGCTGTACAGGTATTGTGAAATGTCCATACAACTGTACAACAACTCACCCTTATGTAATACTCCCTACAGCTGTTGTAATATATTGTGATGTGTGAGCTGCTGTGTCCAAGTAATTTCCTTCGTGGACCAATAAAGTCTGTCCAAGTCTAAATGTCACTGAGTGAGTACGACCCACCTCTGAGGTTTTGACATGATGTAGTCTTGCGTTTGGTCCTAGTTTGGACATGGTTTTATTGGTCCTGGTTTAGTCCTGGTTCAGGCCGGCTACATCTGGTTTAGAGTTTTATCCTGGTCCAGTCATGGTCCAGCCTGATTTGGACCTGGTATTTGAAACGGGTTTAGTCTAGTTTACGTTGCAGTATTTGGTCAGTACTGTGCATGCATAATAACAGTGGTAGAATGTAACAAAGTAAAAGTAGTGAAGTAGTATTTGTACTTTCCTTATGTAGATTTCTGAGTGGATACTTTTTTATTTTTACAACCTGTACTTCCTACTCCACCACATTTTTGAACAGGACTGAAAGGTTAAAGCTATTGTGTCATAAATAATAAGTACAAACATCTAAAACACAAACATTACAAAACAAAACTCAGCACAAATCTATCAAAATCCCTACGTATGAAGCTTAATTAGATCTCAAAATTTTAAAAAAGTACATTTTCCAGCAGGTACTTTAATACTTTAACTTAAAGGTTAAAGGTAAAAGTATTTTTATTATTGCCTGAGACCTGCTGAAAAGGCTGAGGGGTTATATTTAACACATTTGTAGTTTGAGCCAACAAAAATAAACAAATAATAAAAAGAGCTAGAAAAAAGGATCAATTATAATGTTTCTTTTGAGCAAACTTCTTTACATTTGAAGTGTTATTAGATCCCAAAATCTATGTGAAATACTTTTACTTTTTACTCTTTAAGAACATTTATAAACAGGTATTTTATTACTTTTACTTGAGTAGATTTTACCATGTGATACTATTACTTGAGTATTACAAACTTATAAACGTGTCCAGAACGACAACAAGAATCACACGTATTTCTGAACAAGCTTAAACATGTATTTTGTTGTTTGTGGAGAACATTTTCGTATGTAAAAACCTGCAACCTTTGCGATAATCTTTGCGTCAATTCAAACTGCAATTTCGATTTGATCACGATTAACCTTTTAAAGCCTTATTTGAGCATTTCCAGACTGCATCTTTCGACTACGCGCTCAAAGCAAAATTCACGAATAAAAACTCAACAAGAACTTCTAAAAATAAACTAAACAAAGCGTAATGACATTTTTCTAAGATGCTATTTCGCAAAAAGCGTGAATCTACGGTGAATAGTGGTGCATTTTTGTTGCATCAGCCCTCGCGCACTCGCTTCCTTGTTTGGTCCATGTGCTTCAGGACGCGCCTTCACGAGCCCCTGAATGAAGCGTGGCCACGTACGTACGCTGCCCTTTTCTCACTCTTCTCAACGGAAAATCTAAAGAATCGTAACAAGCAAGAAAAGAAAGTCAAATTACCTGTTCGAAAAGTCCGGGACGGGCGCGGTTTTTCGGTTTTGCGCGCGCCGGGGCTTGGAGCTTGGATCGCGCTGGCGGATGGAGCGTACCCGGGCCACACACGCACGCACAGGCCGAGGCTCCGAGGCGCACAGGCGGAGGGGAAGTGTCAGCAGCTCCCTCCTCTTTCCTGGGGTCGTGTGAGAGAAAGTTTGCAGATCAGATGTGATGCTGTGGCGTAAACACGAGATGGCGCTGTTTTAGTTAGTAAAGCTCTTCATTCTGTTGGGAAAATTTCACATCCATAAATCCAAATTCTACAATTCCAATTCAAAAATCCTTATACTAGACTACTATAAAAAAAAAAAAAATTCTTCAAACACTGAAAACAATTTCTAACATTAAATCTATTAAAACACTTAAATTATAGAAGAAGTAGGATTTTATTTTTAACCACGTCCTCAGTTTTTTCTGTTGATTTTTTTTGTTTGTTTGTTTTGGATTTTTGGACGCATTATCTACCTCAATTTAAGTTTACATGTATGTCAACTTTGTTTTTAGTTCGTTTTTGCTTTAAACTATGTGTGTATGTGTGTGTGTATATGTGTGTATGTATATATGTGTGTATGTATGGGTGTATATATGTATGTATGCGTGTATGTATGTGTATAAGTATGTGTGTATGTATGTGTGTTTGTATGTATGTATGTATGTGTGTGTGTGTATGTATGTGTGTACTGTACGTATGTGCGTATGTACGTATGTATGTGTGTATGTATGTATGTGTGTATGTATGTGTGTGTGTGTGTGTGTATGTATGTATGTGTGTTTGTAAGTAAGTGTGTATGTATGTGTGTATGTATGTGTGTATGTGTGTGTACGTATGTGTGTATGTATGTGTGTTTGTATGTATGTATGTATGTATGTATGTATGTATGTATGTATGTATATGTGTATGTATGTGTGTATGTACGTATGTATGTATGTGTGTATGTATGTATATATATATGTATGTGTGTATGCGTATATGTATGTATATATGCGTGTATGTATGTATGTATTTATGTATGTATGCGTGTATAAACATCATTGAGTTCCTAATCCTAACTACTGAAATTACACTGTACTTCACTTTGCTGCCATCCCAGAATTACAAACTGATAAAGGGCCTAACATTAACTCTGCCTCCATAAACTCACATGTATTTTTATAGCAGTACATATTTGGTAAGAGGCGCGTGCTGCTTTATCTGACACTGGAGATTTATGGGTGACCAGTGTGGGCCAGCAGGACTATTGTGCTGCTCCCTGATGAATGGGACCCAGGGCTGGAGGAACGTCATCCCCAAATAATGCACCTCTCCTGGACCTGAAAGAACCAGCAGCGCCCCTTAACCTCACACAGCCAAGCTCGATACATACTTAAAGGTGCACTGTGTAACTTTTTGGTAGGTAGGTCCGTCACCTGCTTGTTTCTATGGGTATCTATGGTCATTGCTCTGCCAGGAATGTTCCATAGTATGATATTGAACAGCTTTTATAGCTCAAAAATACCTAAAAACTGGTATTTTGACTGTGAGTGTGGTCGCCTCTCTACAGATCTGACCTGTAACTTGGTCTGGTTTGGTCTCCATGAAGATAGAAAGGTTAAATACCAAACAAAGCAATAACATCTCCATGGAGACCAACATTTTTTGTGAACCCGCCACCAAAAAAGTTACAAAAAGCACTTTTAATTAACAACATTAACATTAATTAAACACTTTTAATTCAACCACCACTCCTGGTTTCCATACTAGTATTAGTATCGATTCTCTGTTTTTTGATTATTTTGACCACCCTAATCTGGACACATTGTTTGAAACAGATAATACTCCCTACAACTGTACAACAATTCACCCTTATGTAACAAATAATACTCCCTCCCATTGTACAACAACTTGCCCTTATGTAAGAGATAATACTCCCTACAACTGTACAACAACTCACCCTTATGTAACAAATAATACTCCCTACAACTGTACAACAACTCACCCTTATGTAACAGATAATACTCCCTACAACTGTACAATTCACCCTTATGTAAGATATAATACTCCCTACAACTGTACAACAACTCACCCTTATGTAAGATATAATACTCCCTACAACTGTACAATTCACCCTTATGTAAGATATAGTACTCCCTACAACTGTACAACAACTCACCCTTATGTCACAGATAATACTCCCTACAACTGTACAACAACTCACACTTATGTAACAGGTAATACTCCCTACAACTGTACAACAACTCGTCCTTATGTAACAGATAATACTCCCTACAATCATCATATCATTGTTGCAGTGTCTTCCTATGAACTCATGTATAAAGCTGTGATTTTATATTTTATTCAATTTTATTTTGACTTGTACATTTACATTTATATAATTATACCTTATTTGACACCGTCTTTTGCGATCTTTTTTGCTACTTATTTAGAATTTCTTATTGCCATTTATAATTTTCCTCTTTGTTATTATATTATATTGTGACGTATGAGCTACTGTGCCCAAATAATTGCCCTTGTGGATCAATAAAGTTTGTCTAAGTTTAAGTTTAAGTCTAAATCTCTGGGACAAATGCTCAAACAAATCACGACAGAATTCTTATCGACTCTCAGTACATTTTCCAGAGTCGGTGCAGTTTTGGGTCAGCTCGTACATCACAAAGCACTTTTAGCACCGTTTCTGCGGCTGCCCTCACCTGTTGTTTTTACCCATGGATCAAAGCTCCCTCTCCCCTGCAGCCCCCCCTGGAGTCCGGTGATGGAGTGGACCGGTGAAGCCCAGGCCGCCTGGAGGAGACGGATGGAACTGCAGCGCTTCCCTCTGGAGCTCGACCTGCAGGAGACCAAAGAGAGACAACATCCAAAGAACACACCCATATCTATTACTAACATTGAATACAATTAACATGGGGAGTTTAATGCCATACTGTGGAACATTCCAGATGAAGAAATAGCATCTCAGTGGAGGCGATCAAGTGGCAGATGTTCTTGTTTCACTTAAGCAGGGCTGTCAAAGGTAGCAAAAAGCTGATACTATCCATCCATTTTCTTCCGCTTATCTGGGTCTGGGTCGCATGGGCAGGTATTCCCAGACTTTCTTCACTCCAGACACTTCCTCCAGCTCCTCCGACGAGACCCCGAGGCGTTCCCAGGCCAGCTGAGAGACAAAGTCCCTCCAACGTGTCCTGGGTCTTCCTCTGGGCCTCCTCCCAGTGGGACATGCCTGGAACACCTCTCGAGGGAGGCGCCGAGGAGACATCCGGAAGAGATGCCCGAGCCACCTCAACTGGCTCCTCTCGACGTGGAGGAGCAGGAGAAATATGATCGCATTTGAGTCCGAGACAAGACCGAGTCCAAGCACCTTCAAGGCCAAAACTGGGAAATTTTCAAATTTTTCCAAGATTTTGTCAGACTTACTACCTCGAACAGAGCCCACTGAAGTTGTCATCGCATGTTTCCAAACATCTTCCTGGTTTGTAATGTAAGCATGTTTTTTATTGTCATCGTGGTATCGAAATTGGTATTGTGTATCGAGTCTATAGTCAGGCCAGCATTACCTGGTGCCTCTTCTCAATTTCATTTCTCTCCAGCGACTAGGTCAGGAATCGGAATACACTAGACGGTTTGCAAAAACCCGGAAGCTGTAGACCGCACACCGGCCAATCAGTGAAGAGCTGTGAAGCCATGATGTCAAACTCAAGCATCTGTCTGGGTCCCTTTTGTGGTACAGCACAACAGTAAAGGCAAGGCAAGTTTATTTGTATAGCACAATTCGTACACAAAGTAATTCAAAGTGCTTTACACAATAAGAAATACATTAAAATCATAATAAAAACAAATCAAAACATAAATAATCATGAAGATTAAAATTAAAAAAGAGAGACATAAATTGGAGAGAAGAGAATGAAAACCTTTCAGTTATTATGCACAGTTAAACAAATGTTTTGAGTCTGGATTTAAACAGCGTCACAGAAGAGTCTGTCTCACATGTTCAGACTGTTCCAGGTTTTAGCTGCATGAACCTGAAACGCTGACTCCCCTTGTTTAGTCGTGACTCTGGGCACCAGCAGGAGGCCGGTCCCTGAGCTCCTCAGAGTGTGAGATGGTTCATATGACACTAACATGTCACAGATGTACTTTGGTGCTCGGCCATGGAGAGACTTGTACACAAGTAGAGCTGTTTTAAAGTCTATTCTCTGAGGCACAGGAGCCAGTGCAGAGACCTGAGCACAGGACTTATGTGCTCGTACTTCCTAGTTCGAGTAAGGACCCGAGCTGCAGCGTTCTGGATGTTCTGCAGCGTCTCACAGCTCGTTTGGAGAGACCAGTGAGCAGACCATTACAGTATCTAACCTACTGGAGACAAACGCATGGATAAGTTTCTCCAAGTCTGATTTAGACAGTAAACCTTTGATTTTTGCTATGTTTTTTAGATGGTAAAAGGCTGCAGATGTTATTGATTTGATGTGGCTGTTAAAGTTCAAGTCTGTAAACAAAGCGGTCGAGATGGATGTAGACGAAGCCAGACATTCTGTGTTGCAACGATTCCCGAGATTGAGGATTTAAAGCTGGAACAAAGAAAATGTTTGGTGAATTTTATCAAGGAGAAAGACGTTATTGTCCTTCTTCCTACGGGATTAGGCGCAATACATACGTCACGACCAAATAGCACCGACTGGTTAAATAAAAAAGTACCCGCTTACAGTCGAGCGAACGAATCCTAATGCTGCGAGGTCAGATGGTTTCCACGAAGTGAAACTGGCTGATAAAGTCTATTCCTTAGTATTGAAATTGATATTTTAGTTTCGTGACAACACTAACAAGGACTCTCCATCAAAAAAGCTGATAACAATACATTCTGTAGTCCTGTATTTTTGTTTTCTTTTAGTCAAAAATTTAGGTAAAAAAATGATATCAGGGTAAGTTCAGGGACCCATCTCCAGATCTTGGACTATGCTACGTCAGATCAGGACCACTACAGCTGGAGGATTTGACCTATGGTTCTGTTTCATAGTGATGTGAATTAGATTGGATATCATTTTTTAAAAGAACCAAGTAGTTTTCTTTTTAGTTTTTATAATTTTTTTAAACTGATTAACCCTGAACCAACACAAAGATCAGCAAAGACACAAAGTACGTAATACGAGGGTAGAGCTTTGTGCACAAAAAACATATTTGGCATCATAATAACAGTTTGTTTTTAACTTATTATTATGACTGTAGTGCAACGTTTTATTTAGATCATGCATAATTTCAGTGGGTAAACACACTCCCACTCTCTGTTTGAACCGTTTCTTGGCCATGGTCATTTCTCTCTGTGATTAGTTTGTTGTTAAAATGAGTTCTCACGTTGGATTCTGTTGTATAAATACATCGTAAAAGAGCCAGGCTTTTGAACAGCTCCAATGTGAACTGATACAAAAGATTCGGATCCCATTAAAGAGTCGAAAATCTCATCACGAACATTTTTGACGGGGGAAACCAGAAGCGGAAACGATGTGGTTGTAGTTTAGGTGTTTAGTCCCACGTTAAAGAGCAGTTTGAACAAGTTAAAATTTAATACTTACAAGCATGACTGGTTAATTTTTCACCTTTGCGTCACAATTAGCTCTGTGCACAGTGTATCCCAAATCTAACACTCACTTTTATTAAAATCCCAAAATGTGAAATAAACAAATAAATGAAATTGAATTAAAGTAGGGTAACCAGATTTTCAAATTCAAAAACTGGGACACTCTGGTTTGTTGTGCTTGGTAATAAAATTGTGAAACAAGTGCATAATTAAAGAAAATTGTTCTGCACTTGGCCCATTCACGACAAACATGTGAGTCAGTATAGTCACATTTTCTTGGTGTTTTTGGTCGTTTTTAAGCAGCTTTTCTGTATTTTACCGAAATAAATGACAATTTATGCCTCTCTTTACTGTTGGTGGGTATGGAATTGGTCAAAAAAAGGGCCATTTGGGACATTTGCTTGTATAATATTGGGACAAATCTGCTTGAACAAGGGACACAGGGCTCAAAACTGGGACTGTTAAATAGGGACATCTGGTCACCTTAAATTAAAGTCAAAACTACCCAATTGTTTTTATGTGTAGAACACTTCAGTTTGTGGTGTTATTGTACAATTTATTATTTCTCCAAGTCAGCAGTAGCATTAGCAGTAGCGTCAGCATTGAGGCACAAATATCTACAGTTTCTGAAGTATTAATTTGATTCATGTACTTTTTAACTTGTACTCTCCAGTGCACAGTGTCATAGTACTCGAGACCATCTTGGTTTTGAGACCGACCTTGAGAACGTTTTTTGTCGTCTTGGTCTTGTCTCAGAGTCAACCACGTTTGGACTCTGTCTTGTCTCGGTCTTGTCTCGGTCTTGTCTCGGTCTTGTCTCGGTCTTGTCTCGGTCTTGTCTCGGTCTTGTCTCGGTCTTGAAGGCGCTTGGAATCGGTCTTGTCTCGATCTCATCTCGGTCTTGTTTCAGTCTTGAAGGCGCTCAGACTCGGTCTTGTCTCTTTCTTGAATGCGCTTGGACTCGTTCCTGTCGCGGTCTTCAATGCGCTTGGACTCGTTCTTGTCTCGGTCTTGAAGACGCTTGGACTCGGTCTTGTCTCGGTCTTGAAGGAGCTTGGACCCGGTCTTGTCTCGGGCCTTGAATGCGCTTGGACTCGTTCCTGTCGCGGTCTTCAATGCGCTTGGACTTGGTCTTGTCTCGGTCTTGAAGGTGCTTGGACTCAGTCTCGTCTCGGTCTTGAAGGCGCTTGGACTCGGTCTTGTCTCGGTCTTGAAGGCGCTTGGACTCGGTCTTGTCTCAGTCTCGAGGCCTGACACTCAATGCATGATAAAATGGAGATAAGATTTATAAAAACATGATTTGGTCTTGTCTCGGTCTTGACCCTCAGAGGTCTCGGTCTTGGACTGGTCTTACTCTCGATTAGTTTTGTCTTGACTACAACACTACCAATGCCTTATCTGCCTAAATATTTATTCAGTGTAGCTCAGCAAAAAATATTATTATTGATTAAATTAGTTTGATTATTGTGTATTTTTGTTACTTTTGTGGTGTCTGGTTTTTGTTCTGTTTTGATTTCATTGTTGGTGTTGAATGTGGTGCAGGTACATCCTGTTTGTTTTCTGTATCAAAAAAAAAAAGAGGAAGAATAGTTGCTGTTTTTCGGTAGCTAAAGGGGATCTAAATAAATAAAAACAAACAAACAAACCTTACAGATACACATGGGCTCATTGACACAAATTTGGGAGCATGGGGCAAGAAGCCTCACATGGGCCCCCCTCTAATATAAATTAATTGGAAGAGGGTCCAGTTCTGGGCCCGTAACACCCTGGGGCCCGGGATACACAGCTGGATACACAGTTGAGCAGGAAGTAGTGACACTATTTTACTGGACATGCACATCATTCACTCAGAACCAAACATTTAATCATTGTATTTTATTGCCAACTATTAAATTATAAGTGCCTTACGTTACAAGTCAAAAGCACTACACAAGGTTAACGTGTTTTCCAAAATATAATTGCATATAACAAGAAACAGCATTTTAAATAGTCTCCCCCCTTAAGCTCCAAACTCCAACTGAAAAATCACAGTGCACTCGTTGTGTTAGTACAAGTCCGACCACTAGATGTCACTACAGTCAGTGAAATAGACAAAGCAGTACAGTTGATGATCCACAAAGATTTTGATCAATTTTACAGTAATGGATTTGCGTGAACTTGGTCAAGCTGTGGAAGATCAGACGGACAAACAGAAGCTACCAATATTCTGTCAATAAAAACACATGAAACAAATAGAGAATGTAACAGGACCGATTAAAAAAAAAGTTCAAAAATAGCCTTGTTGTTCTGTATTTGAGCAGTTTTTCCAAATTTTGCTTGGAAAAAATGTAAATGTTGTTACTTAAGTGCTGAGAAGATAGTGGTGGATGATGTCCTTAATACATCCCAAAAATGGTAGTAAATTTGTAGCATAAATCACAAATAACTGTTTACTTTTGTTAAATTAAATGAATTAGCTGGGTGTATTTTAGTATGATTGTGTAAATACAAAGATTTTTACCCTATTTGACCGAAAAATTTTTGAATATTGGCTCATACAAATACTGTCCGTCCCCATTTGTCGTCGATAGTTGAAGGGTCTGGCTGTAGCCGATGGTGAGTTCATGATGAAAGGAGCTCCATAAAGTCCGTATTTGGTTTGGTTTAATACTCGATTGTCGACCCCTAACCCAAATCTTAGGCAAAATCACCAGGGGCATAGCCTAAATTATTAACTTGCCTCGATAAGAAAAGAAAAGTTTTGTTTTTTGACCCTGGATATGATGAAATGGAGCTCCACAGCCAATCAAACCTTCACTCCAAACAGCGGCTGCAGCTGGACTCTCCTGGACAATAGCAGCATACTTAAAGCTGCACTGGAACTTTCCTGGTGAACGTTATGTAGTGTTGTTTACATCGATATTATTGCTTTGCCTGGAATGTTCCTCAGTGTGGCATTTTGAACATCTTGCATTTACAGGTGTTTTTACAGTTTTTATCGTTCGTCCCCATGGAGATAGATCAATTTACGGGATTCCACGCAAAGTAATAATTACATTTCCATGGAGACGACCATCGAGTGCACCACCAGGAAAGCTACACAGTGCATCTTTAAAGCACACGGAATGTAACAATGCTTTATACAAGCTCTATTCATGCTTACGTCACAAACCAGGAAGACGTTCGGAAACATGCGATGACAACTTTCGGCGTAGTTCGACGACCGATTGTTATCAAACCCACTGAACTAAATGTGATCAGCGGTAAAATGAAGATCGGATACGTATGCGCTGGTTAGAATCAACTTGAATTTTAAATCGCATGGACCCAGTGCGCTCGGAGTTGTGCGTCACTGGGGAAATGACGAATACTGAAGTAAGGTTGTAATTGCTGAACATAATGGAACGCTACAATGACATGTAGATGAAGAAAACTGGGCCGAGATTTTGTTAGACCATGGACCTCCAACCTGTATCTCAGGAGCCACCAGTAGCTCACCAACGGATTTCTGAATTCTGTGTATTGTGGATAAAAATAAGATTGAATTAATGGTTTGTTTTATAAGCATCTAACTGTTCCCCATCTAAGGAGGTGGCTCTTTTATTTACTCTGTTTCTTTGTGACTGCTGAAATTGGTAGCTCTCTGGTATTTTTGTTTCGTAAAGGTAGCTCACTGGAGAAAAAAGGTTGGAACCCCTGAGTTAGACTTAGTACCACGAACAAAACCTGCCGGAAATTGTCATCACATGTTTCCAAAATGTCTTCCTGGTTTGTGACATAAGAGTGAGTACAGCTTATTGTCACCAGCTTTGCCCTAGTTTTCCTGATAGCTTCCTGACTTCTCTCCTTTGCAGTGAGTTTACAAGCATCACTCAAGGTAAAGGAGAAATTCAATTTGTCAAGTGGACAAAAGTTGATTTAGGTCGAATACGTTTCGCAGCTCATCCAAACTGCTTCTTCCGTTCTGAACTGGACTGAACTGAAATGTATTCGACCCAAATAAACTTTTGTCCGGTTGATAAATTGAATTTCTCCTTTACCACAGATTCTACCTGGATGAGTGAGGGATTTTTCTCACTTACTGTACAACAATCACTTCTAACTTGACTTCTCTTTTCTGTACAAATGACTGCCTCCTTACGAACCTGATCTCTAGTCGTTAAACACCACGTACGCAGACAAAGCCTCCACGCACATTATTACATAGTGCAAATTACAGGCTTTTGGTTCCAAACCCACAATGTGATTTTAAACTGTGCTCATTAGATTTTCTACTGCCAAAACCATAGACTGTATAAAGAAGTGGACTAAGAGAGTGTGACGTCACCCATGGCGTTCGGCTCCAGTCAAACGAAGCTCAATGAGGCTGGCGGCTATGGGGCGAATTTAGAGTTGAGTTCCATGTGCAGAAATATTGTAATACCGATATACTGTACCGTTTAATGTGATGATACTGTATCGATATCGTGGGTTGCTGTATCGATAAATCCCCAAGAGTATTTTTTGGTATATTTTACTAAATTATTTTGTTACAGAACTACAGTTTTGTTGCTTGTTTAGAGGAAGGAAACTCCTTTATGCAACACATTTCAAGCGACATTTTCAGTGTTTTGATGAGTAAAATAGGTGTTTCATATGAACTTTGCACAAGAAGTGGTTTAACAAAGACTTTTAGTATCACAACCATGATTTAGCCTTTATTTTTATTGAACCGGATCAAATCTATTTGAAATATATCGTATCGAATCAAATGCTCACTGTATCGAGGTATGCATCATATCAGTTCCATTATTTGCAATTCCGACCGCAAGTATCGAGCCAATCAGGAGTGAGGCTTTTGAAGGTAACGCTCTACCCGCTCAGCAACACTGTCAGTCAAACCTGATAGCCGGTGTGTTCGTATCTTGATTTATGGACAAAAATCACAAAACAAAAACACCAGGATCATGTAGAATGGGTTAATAGAGACATTTTAAGACCAAAATGACGAGGCTCACTGCAGAGTTGATGGAGTGGGAAGCGTGCATGTGATCACTTCCTATCTAGAACACTCTAGAATGTCCATTTATATTTACAGTCTATGGTCAGAGCACAGAATTATTTTAGCTGGGACAAAACTGCAGCAAATTTACATGGCACTTTATATTCAAATTACATTAAATTAACTTTTGGACATGTGCAAAGACCAACAATTTGTCATTAAGGCATTTTTCTGGGTTCACAAAATTCATAAGGCTTTGATTTTTAGTTGGGGAAGATAAAATTATTAATTACCATGGTGATTTTGTGGTGGTTAGATAAACATATCAAGTAAATAATGGAACATACAGTGTTTATGGGAACACTTCGCTACTACTAACTACAATGGTATTTAAATACAAATTAAATAATAATTACTAACTACAGAAACAAGAGTCATCTGCATTTCTATCTATCTGATAATAAAATAAAGTTGTATTTCAAAATCAATTCTAAGTTTGACCCTAAATGGCCACGAAATCATTTATTTTCTTGGACACATTGTTAGCCAAGTTAGCATGCTACTTCAGTTACCGTGCTATTCCTGTAAAATGCTACGAGTTTTCTTTTAGATAAGTTAAAATATTTCTACAAGAGGGCCACTGGCTATTGTACCCATCTGAAAACAACAAACAGGCCGCCTACACGGTTTCATGACGGGAATTTAAACCCCAAACGTGTGCCAAATATTCAAAATAAAATGTCAAGAGATAAACGCTAAATGTGAGGCTTTGAGGCAGGAGCTAATGCTAATGCTAATGCGGATAAACAACAGAAGATTATGAGTTTTCTACTTACTGTCAACTGTTCTAGATAGTTAATTCTCAGTGCTGTGCTACCATATTACACCATTCATAACTTGATTAATTGTGTTTAATGTCAATAATATGATTTTGTACGTATTGTTAACACTAGTTGGAGGTTTATGCTACCACGGCTAAAGCAAACAGTAGAGTATATGGCCTAATTATACCACTTATTAAGCTGATTAAAGGTCCTATATTACGCAAAACTGACTATTGTGAGCTTTAAGTCATGTTATAATGTTGTTACGTCCTCAAAAACATACCTGGAGTTCTGTTTTGTGTTGTTTAATTAACCCTGTATTATTAGTCTATCTAAATCTCCAAAGCTCAGAATGCTCTGTTCATCTTTGTCATGTCAAGTAGCTCCCTTTTACATTTTGTTCATTCGAAATTGGAAATTCCAGGGCTATAATATACCATATTTTTCAGACTACAAGTTGCATTTTTTCATGGTTTGAGTGGTCCTGTGACTTATACATTAAAATGTTTACACGTACAGCTGCGAGAGGCTCTAGTCTTGACTCTTAGTATCTGCTGCTCCTGTTACTACTGTACCGCTGTCACTTTGCACTCTCATGCGCATGTATCCTGCAGAAAAATACAGAAAATGGTATGGAGCAGCAGAAAGAAAGTTTGGAGTGAGTGAGAAACTTCTCACAACTGGAAGGGTGCACCATGCAACTTTCCTGGAAGTCGTTGAATGGATCTACAAAGCCTGGACTTCAGTGGCAACCAAAACCCTTCTGTTGAAATTCAGAAAGGCTGAAATCATTCTAAATGGAGCTGATGCCGAGTCTGATGACAGCTACTTATAAATATAAAATAAATTTCTCCCAAAAACTTAAGGTCCAGTGTGACTTTCTTCATTACGCATTTATTGTCTGGTGCGACTTATTCTCCAGTGCGACTTATAGTCCGAAAAATATGGTATAAGTAACAGGGCTATTATAAGAAGAATAATAGGGCTTTAATAATAGTTATCCCTATATTTGTATTATTGAGTACTACTGAGTATTATTGCTGTTAGTAGTCAGGTACTTTTGCACTATTAGAACTGGGTATACTGGCTCAGGACAGGGACACACGTTGAAAGCTCGGCGGTGCCTCCTGGTGGACGGTGGCGGTGGTGAGTATGTGGCGTGTGTATGGGAAAAGGTGATTGTTAACACAGAGTTTGATCCTTCCCGGTCGCCACGGTGACAGTCCTCCTCCTCCTCCTCTAATTAGAGTGCTGGGCCTCGTCGTTGGCCAGGACGATGGCAGTTCTGCAGGGGATGTACACCTGCCATAGAGAACACAGAGGAAAGGAGAGGTTAGAGATATGGTCATTTGATAATAAAAAAAAAAAACCTAAATGGGGCGTTCCTACAGAGTGGTGTATGAATGTGTGAGTGAATGGGTGAGTGGTTCCTTGATGCAAAAAGCACTTTAAGTACCTTGAAGATGGAATTAAAAAAAGAAAAAAAAAAGAAAAAAGAACCTGCCCAGGGACTACAGCTGGAAATTTGCACTGGTGCTACAACCTGGTACAATGAATCTCTCCTGTTAAGGTTAATGTAAAAACTGTGCACTGTCCCTGTCTCATTAAATGAATAAATAAATAAATAAGTAAATAAATAAATAAAATAAATTAAATTAAGATAAAATAAATGAAAATAAATAAATAAATAAAATAAAATAAAATAGTGCTGCACAAAATGTTAAATTTTTCTTTTTCTTTTTTTTTTTTTTACCAAAATGTGGAATTTGTCGTTTAAAATTTTAAAATACATGTGTTGATATTCCACTATTTTCTGATCCATGTTATAATGTTGTTTCCTCATCAAAAATATAACTGGAGTTGTGTTTTGTTTCATTCACACATGTTTAACACACAAACCCTGTTGGAGGTTTTTTCTCTCCAACAGAGAACACTCTGTTCCACCTTTGGATGTCATGTGGCAATACAAGAATAATTTTGATGATTTTAACCCTGGAATTGCTCATCTCTACTGAACTAAATTTAAAAGCAGTGTTCCCACTCTTTTTCACTGACAACGTTTCTAAAATGTTCCATAACTTTTTCTTGACCTAAAGTGAATTTTCCATGACTTTACAGCACCCTAAATATGTAGACTTGATCAGACTTTTAGGGCTAAATATGAAATGTGAACCCTTTCCACTCACCTCATGGTTTGGTTATAGTTTTTAAACATTCAAAATACTGTCAGTGCATTTATTGTCATCTCTCTTGAACTAAAGGCACAAACATTCAGAAATAATCACAATAGCCTAATGATATGTTAACATAACGCTATAGTTGCGTGAAAGAGATACTAAAATTTCATGACTTTTCCAATATCCAGGATTTCCATGGCTGTGGGAACCCTGTAAAAGGCAGCTGTTAACTTGAAAACTACAACTACATGACTTTGCAAGGTAGAACAGAGCATTTGGATCTTCAGAAATGTAAACAAACTAATGACGACTCAAACATGTATGAATGAAACAAAACACAGCTCCAGGTCTGTTTTTGATGATGTAACAACATTATAACGTGGCTCAAAGCTCACAGAAGAATCAATTTTGCGTCGTATAGCAGTTTTAATGATTAGATACAACACATTTTCGTCGAGGATTTCAGTTCACAGTAATGGTCTTTAGCGGGGCTGATTGGGAGGCGCTGATTGCTTTCACATTTGCTAAATCTGTCCTCGTCCGTCTCTCCTGATCTGAGGGGCAAAGACTTTAGTCCGGCCTCTCAAATCATCACGAGAACGTCTTCAAACTGTATAAGCGTCCACTCCACTCTGCTGTGCTACGCTCTGAGGAGAGGCAGTCTGACAGGGCCTATGACAAATCTCTAGAGAATAGGAGAGACGAAGATTTCAAATTAAAGGGGCTGCACCTGATTTTTTGATGTAATAAAGCAAAAAAAGTAAAAAGTAAAATGAGTCTTGTCCATACGAAGATATATCAGAATATATAAATAGAAAATCATGCAAAAGTTCTATACGTTTTGCTCGTTTCAGAAAGCCAGACTCATACATTATACAGACTCATGACACATAGAGTAAAGCTTTCAAGACTTTAGTTTTTGAAATTTTGATGATTATGGTTTACAGATAATGAAAACCCAAAATTTTGTGTCTCAGAAAAGTTGAATATTACATAAAATCAATAGAAAAAAAGACATTTTAAACAGAAAAGGCTCGTCTGTATTGTAAAAGCAGCTCTCAGGGTCAAAATGAGACTTTTTTGTGACATCCGCACCTAATAATAACACATTTTTATCATCCGTGAACTAGAAAGTGATGGTGGTGTGTTGTTTGCATGCTAGTAGTTGTTGCAGTGGCGTGGTGTGGTACAAGGTGCAACGGTAGGTTTGCTCTTGCTTCTGAAAGTTATGAAAAGCGCTTAAAAACTCAATTGTGGTGAATAATTAAGGATGCCAGGAATGTGTTAGGAAAGTGAGGGATAGTTTGGAGTTTGGACTGGGGATGTCGAGATCAGCGCTAAAATAAAACGCAGGAGTACAGGAGTTGGATCCACGCACTGACAGATCCAATATGGAAATCCAGTATGCAAATCCTCTCATTGTGAAATTGCAGCCAAAGTGTCTAAGGCTACATTCAGACTGCAGCCTGAAGTGACCCAAATCTGATTTTTTCGTCCCTATGCGACCTGTATCTGATCTTTTAAGGACAGTCTGAACGACACAGATCAGATTTTTTCAAATGCGACCCAGGCCACTTGGATATGTGCTCCTAAAAATGATACATATCCGATCTTTTGACATGCGACTTCAGTCTGAACGGCCACGTCACATTCATCCCACCTACACGTCACAAATGTACACAAACGTTCTTTTCCGGACCCACACATTCCTTTTTACGGACGTTTCTGCCACTGACCCACAAAACTCCATGGCCAAAAACCTCGTCCTTCTCCTTCTCAATCTCCTCCTTAAAACAAATGAGCTGTACATGTTCTGGCTCCGGTACGACAGAAACTTTAAAATCGCCAGGTATTCAAGCTGTGTCCATGTGTAGGCTGTTTCCATACCCAAAGTTCACATACAAGTCACATTTAATTGGAAATGTGAACGACCTCGCAAAAAAAAAAAAATAAATCTGATTTCCCCCAAAAATCCGAATTAAGCATTAAGCCCTGCATTCTGAACATACCTAAATGATCCAACAAGGCCAAGGGGCTCTTTTACAAAACAAAAATGCCAGAGAGCTACTCATTTTAGAGGTCGCAAGAAATTGGGTAAATATAAGAGTGTTAGATGAGGTACAGTTTGACATTTACACAACTATTATCTATTTATTAGTGCACAAAGATAGGCATCACATTTACAATAATAACAGGCATTTAATTGAATCATATTTTAGTTATTTAGCACAATACGTATAATTCAGAAATCCCATGGTGAGCTACTTGGAATGGGATGGAGAGCTACTGGTCGCTCCCAAGTTGCAGGTTGGAGACGCCTGAACTAGGCTATATTTTTGAGATGATTATCCACGTGTTTTAAAGGTGCACTATGCAACTCCACCACCTAATTGTCTCCATGGAGATGTTTGCCTGTAATGTTCCACCGCATGTCATAAAATGTATCTCTCTTACGTTAAGTGATTTTTATTGATCAAAAATATGTTAAAGCATGCCTTGTCTTTGTCAGCGTAGTCTCTTCTCCACAGATCTGACCAGTAACTTGGCCCTGTAGCGTCACTTGCTTGCTGGATATGTTTAATGTCATGCTGTAGAAAATTCCACACAAAAACAAAGACATCTCCATGGAAAAAAGCAGTAAGTTATATTTTGCGAGCTGTTACGACCCGGGGGTAAGGGAAGTAACAAAAATAAACCAAGATGGAAAAATGGAATAAATGAAATAATGTTCAAAAAACAGGAATGTAAAGGTAAATCAACAAAACAGACTAAAATATACAGAGAATATAAACTAAGAAACAAAACAACAGACAACGAGGTCTGTGCCACAAAACGGGTCACGCAGGCTTACACAAAACGAGTGGTAAAACTAAGGGACACCCACGAAACTAAAACACAAGTTCCCCAAATTAAACCACATTGGCTCACAAACAGAATCGAGTGACCAAATTTAAAAAAGGCACAAAACAGACCTAAACTACACACAAACCCAAAATGGCATACTGGCCCACAGCAGGAATCAAGAAGTGCCACCAAAATAATTTAAAACACACAAAACAAATTACACTTTAAGGCCTGGGGCTGTAACAGAGCGCAATATTTGATGTAAATGGAGATCTGAAGTGAATCATGCGGCCGTGTGTGAGGACCAGCTGGGAAAACGGTGCCTATATTTAGTGCATGTGTGCTTAATTATTATTATCACTGAATTATAAAGTAAGAGTAAGGACTATTATTTCACTCAATGAGATGTGAAACAAAAATGCATGTTTTATGGTGAAAAAATACCGTAATCCGAATGTTCTTTTTTTTTGGCAATAATGGTGAATAATCATAAAATCACAATTTTTTTCCTCACAATAATCAGAACTAAAAATTGTGACACGGTGACATCTCTAGTTTTCATATTTTAAAAACAAAAACAATTGTCAAAATCATTTCCACAACAGAAAATCGCACTACGTTGGACTGTTTGGAAGTGATGAATTTAAAGATCCATTATGTAACATTTCTCATAGAGGATGCGCCACCTCTTTGTCTCCATGGTGATGATATTATTTGCACAAAAAAGGCATTAAACTTCTCTATCCCAAAGAAGACAAGCACCCAAATTACCAATGTGTGGAGAGAGAGACTAAACGAAACGAAAAACAACTCCAGGTATATTTTTGGAGATTACTACACACTTATGAGCCAAAAAGAGTCCCAGTTTTGAATATTTTGAGAGCAGTCTTCACAGCTCCAACCCCAAACTCCACCTGCAGCTGTTGTTTACACATGACAGAGGCCCTTGATCCATTCTCTCCCATATTCGGGGTGAAAAGTAGGTCCCTCTTTGCACTATCAGTCAGGGAGATGGAAGTCAAGAGGACGAGCTGGGACATGAGCGATGCCGTCTCCCCCCACACCAGTGAAGGAGCGCGCCCAACTGTGAACTATTCCATCACACGCAACCCCAGCCAGTCTGCAGTTACACCGGGCTGACACAGGGGGCGCTCACACACACACACACACACACACGCACACGCGCTTTTGTGAGCGTGTTCCTTATTTATTCTTGCAGAAATGCTTCGAAACACTGGTGGAATATTATTATGATGATTCTGAAAATGAAAATGTGCATGG